TCTTCCAGGCAACACCCTTCTTCCAGGGCCCCTCTTCCAGGTTTTAAGTCTTTTAATGTGCCATTCTCTAATTATTAGGTTGACCTAGCCAACCTAATCTTCCCACATGGGGGTATGCCGGTGAGAACCAGCCCTCATCCAATCTTGCACGTCCATATATTATGTGTTCGGAAATTCTAGTCTTCCCTAGACATTCCGATCCACAAAGGATGGCTCATACAAGACGGTAATATATATTTTTTTGGCATCTTTTTTAACCCTTCCCGACCAAAAAGTCGGTAGGGATCCATGTAAGTATGGATGCGAATCCTCTTCCGGATCCAGCCTGTCTCAAGGCGATACCTCAACATCAAGGCCCCTATCTCAAGGGTTTTTTTTTCTTTTTTTTATCAGCCCATGCTACGGTCCAGGTCCTAGACATCAAGACTGATCCGTCTACAGCAAGCTTAGTAATCTTGACCACATCTTATCCACCCTCTCTTCTTTCCATGATCATATTCATGTGGGTGGATTCAAGTACTCGCCTATGGGTCTTCCTCAAGCCCCGTAACGATTACTTCATCCAATTCCCCTTTCAAGGTCATCTCCTTGAGCACAGCCTTAACATTTCGGCAGTCTGCCGTGTTGTGGGAGTCAGATTGGTGATAGGTACACCACTTCTCTGTCCAAGGCCGCTTGGGTTATTCTCCCTTCTTCTCATTCCTAATTTGGTGGACCGTCCCATCATATGTGGTCCTTGGCCTGGACCCTCCCATATAGTCGTCCTTTGGCTTCTCGGTCTTGACCTTCATATAACCTTCTTCCAGTTCTCGTTTTCTCTTGTTTAGGACCTCCGCCTCTGCGTACTCCCATGCTGTATTGTAAGCTTCTTGATAAGAGGAGGGTGGCCTTCTACAAAATTCAGTGTAGAGGTCACCCGACCGAAAGGCATTCATCAGCAAAGACATGGCTGTCCTGTCGTCTATCTCTTCTACTTTGTCGACCTCGTCCCTCTAGCGAGTTAAGAACTGAGTCAAGGACTCCTTCTCCCTCTGCCCTACCGTGTTAAGGTAGGTGAACTTCTTCCTTTTGATGCAGTTGTCCTTGTACTTCTTGCAAAAAATCTCAGCAAGTTTTTCAAAGGACCCGATCTTACCATGTGGAAGGTTGTTAAACCATTCCACTGGCCTCCCTCTCAAGGATGAGAAGAAGAGTAGGCATTCTTCAGCATCAGTACACCCGGCCATTTGCGCTGCATTATGGAAGGTGTCAAGGTGGACATTTGGATCCTCCTTTCCAGTGAATTTCTCCACGTCCAGCTTGACCTTCCGCCTCACGTTTTGTGCATGTACCCTGGCTGAAAAAGGTGATTTGGACAGGGTGTGCTTCTTCGCTCCCGCCTTCTCTTCTACCTTTTCCTCCAGGGCACGTAGCTTTCTCGCTATGCTCCCTATCTTGTCCAGGTCATCCTCATCGTATGAGAGCCTGGTATATGCCGATGCTTTGGGCTGGCTTTCAGCTTCCTCCTCATCTAGGTGAATCGTCTTAGATTCCCTAAAATGACGAGATTGGGCAGGATGACTCCCGCCAAGTCTTTCCATTGTGCTAGTCCGGCCCATCTCAGGACCAAGACGTAGCTTGGCAGACTTACGGGGTCCATCCTCTTTGTCCCCTAGGCGTTTGAACGCCGAATCTTGGGTCTTGCTGGGTTTGGCTATAGCCTTACCCTTCCCTCTGCGGGCTGCCTCCTGTTCCGCCTCGTCAACTTCATGACATTTGAGGGAGCTGCCTCATTCATGGTCCCCGTCAAATTCACCGGATGTATAGGAACCATTCTAGGAACGAATGTTGATGGAGTCGACACCGGGGGTGGCATGATTGGTGGCATCATGCCAGGATAGGCAAATGGCATGAAGCCCCCTGCCTGTTGCATCATGGCCATCACCTGTTGATAGCCCTGTAGAGCCTGAGTATTTGCCGGGTCAGTAGCAAATTGAGCCCAAGCTGACGGGTATGGTGTGAATGCTCCCCCGGGCGTTGTTATCGAGCCTGGGAACATTGTTTTCGTTGGTGTAGGAGTAGGGGTCGACATGATCGGGATCATGCCAATCGATCCTACAGTGGTGATCGGGGCAAAGGTCGTCCCCATGCTCGTTATCATCAGTGGGATGGTAGGAGTGCTTTCATTCGCAGCCTGGCTTGACACAGTGTTGTTGTTGCTTGAAGACATGATTGTGGATATTTAGTGGGGGTAAAGTTTTGACCTTGGTCGAAAAAACTTTAAAAATCTGCCCCACGGTGGGCGCCAAAAATGATGGTGTAAATATAGCTGGGTGGGTTAACCGGGTTTGACCTGGACACACTCGACCCGTAATATAAAACACACAACAAGAACACAAAGTATGACCTAGACCGGGTAAATCTCCTCAGTCCGAATTATATTTCTTACTCTATCTCAAGAGTGAACTTTAGTGAGAGAAAAATTGGATCCCCTCCTCTATCAAATATCATCATATTTATAGAGGAGGATTTATGACCCTCCCCTGTTCATCCATGGACAAAATAGGAAGCTCGTGGGAAGGTCACTGTAGATAATGGAAGCACTGTACAATCATAGAATTTAGAAACTATAAGCCAAAGACTATAGATGGATATTCTCAATCTAATCAGCCCTGCAAAGTGACAAACATCCCTTTCACTGTTTGTCTCGTGATGGACGAACGGCAGGGTGGTCCCTCGATCTTTGACGTGGTTCACCATGCCTGAGATACTGGACCAATGTTTGTCAAGTAAGATGATATGGCCGGTCACCTTTTTCCCAAAGGTTGACCGGTCATTTCTTGAGCTCAACCCGTCTCTTTGGTCTTCTTGAATTCTTCACAACATTAGGTGATATTTTGGCTATCGCCCAAAATGTGGCCGGTCACTTTTTTAGTGGAAGTGACCGGTCAACTTTTGACCCGTCCCAATCGAAGAGTTAACCTCATTTGATGATTGATAAAAGTGACCGGTCATATTTTGACCTGTCTCTTTCGATTGTCCGGGTCGGGTATAGGGATATACCCATCAGTAATGAAGCATGTACCCGTTAGGGAGGAGTTGGCGAGCCTTGTTCAAGGCATCATATCTGCACATCAAACTTGAAATTTTAACTATGGGGAGGGGAAAGTAATCAGCCGCCCTTATCCAGGTTTCCCATTGCTTCCAGGTCTCGACCTCTAGATCGAAGGGACCCGGTGATTGGTTCAGAGGTAGGGGGCCAGGAATCCCCAAGCCACCCAGGGAAATGGGTGACTTGGTAGGCGAAGAAGAAGGGTTGGAGGAAGACGTGGAAGCATGCTCGTCGGATCTATATGAATGGGTCGACCGGTTTTGGCTATCAGAGGAAGACATGAGCGGGAAGAGGAAAAGGACTCGGATGACTTACTTGGTTAGCTAAAAAAATACTCGGAGGGCTGATGGAAGACGTCGGAAAAATGCTCGAGAGACTAGACAACCAAGAAGCGCTCTGAGAAGAATTTGCAAAAAAGTGAAGAGAAGAGAGGGGGAGAAGGCTTTATATAAGCGACCTCGCATTGGTACCCGTATTGGGCCGCCCATCTTTGTGAACCATAAGAAGACACGTGGCAGAAGACAATAATGGCCTAACATAAGTCATGATTGCTTCCTGGGAGAGACCAAACGACGTGATAATTGGAAGGGGCGGCTAGAATTTGACATTCCAATTTTGAAAAATTACTTCCCACCCTTGATAGTTCCTAGAAGGCCAATAAGTAGAGAACTTATTAATGGGAGTATTCTCACCCAAGATACAAATCGGGTCAGATGCTATAGTGATCCACTTGATCAATGAAAGAACAGTTCCTTTGGAAAATAGGGTAGTGTTAAAGTTTGACTGGGTGGGTCTTAACCAAACGGGTGTGTTGGGACCTTTGACATTATCGGCCAGGAAACTACTCTCGATGGAGGAATCCATTAACTAACCAGGCGATCCTTACGGAGGAGCCACCCGGGTGGTTTATGGGAGCTCGCGCATATGAACAGCCTAGCAAACTTTGGAGGGTAGCACTAGGAAGGAATCAGATCCTTTGAACCTCACGAGTACGCCTAGCACTACACGCCAAGCCGTAGTACAAGACAATTGGAGAAAGAGGACAAGCGCTACCAGACAAGGATCTTTTGCCTCACCACGTGGCCCAACATGGACGCACGACGCCCTGTCCCCCACAATACCCTATAAATATTCTTGTAGCCCGAAAATGAAGGGACCAGAGTTTATCCGTGTAGAGCTCATTATTGTAATTCCTCCCTATGCAATCTCCGTAGTTAATAAGAATTGAGCTACAGGTTTTTTCACCTACAGTCCTCCGAGTCAATCTGTGTCTCCTAAGTCTTTTTTGTATCTAAACTCAATAAACCACCCTAGGCCCGATCTAGAGTAGTTTACCCATGTGATAAATTACACCATCATTTAGCGTACACAATTTTTTACAACACATTAATCCATATTTGATTCATGGTCATCATATCCTTTTCACTTATTTTAAATATTTATTTTTTGGGTATTCAACAAATAATTTTCAGAGCCAGACATAAAAAAAGAATGGACCATTTTTCTGGTTTCCAAATGGATCCTTTGCCCAATGTTTGGGTCAAAGAATTTGGAAGGAAAAGAAAAGAAAATGTTTTTCTCTCATTTTGCTCACCAAGATGACAGAAATTTGGTTTCCCCCCACTTAAAACATTTTGTCTTCATATTTTCTTTTTCTTTCTTTTCCTCTATAACCAAATAAGAAAAACTATTTTCAACTTCATTTTCATTTCTTTTCTCTTTTAAATTTTGTGAACCAAACATGGTGTAGATGAATTTTGAATTTCCATAGGTAAAGAAAAGAAAATAAAAATAAAAAAGTCAATTTTCTTTCCATCCTAATTTAAGTTGTTTGTTCAGTAATCACATGATCAAAATTTAAGCATTTTCATTACTCATTCTCGATACTCATTTGATAGTATAAAATAGTATGATAGTTTTATTTTATAAAATTTTAAATGTAGTTTTTAAACACATAAATTTTAGAGTAAATTCTATAATTGGTCCTTTATAACAAGGGGATTTCCATATTTAGTCCTCTATTATCAAATCTTACCCCGTAGTCCTTTTTTAAGGGTGCCTTTCCACAAATGGTCCTTTTTTGATCTTCTGCCATGTTGGTGTTAATTTAAAGGCTAAAAGTATAATTTGACATCAACATTATGTCTAGTGACGTGTTCTGATATTGGTTAAGCGAATAACACAAAAATAATGACTATGATTGTGGGCTAGGATTGAGACGAAAAACCACATTTGTAGACTATGGTTGTAGTAGAAAGTGACTGTAATTCATAAACGGCGCAAACATGTGATAAATTACACCATCATTTAGCGTACACAATTTTTTACAACACATTAATCCATATTTGATTCATGGTCATCATATCCTTTTCACTTATTTTAAATATTTATTTTTTGGGTATTCAACAAATAATTTTCAGAGCCAGACATAAAAAAAGAATGGACCATTTTTCTGGTTTCCAAATGGATCCTTTGCCCAATGTTTGGGTCAAAGCATTTGGAAGGAAAAGAAAAGAAAATGTTTTTCTCTCATTTTGCTCACCAAGATGACAGAAATTTGGTTTCCCCCCACTTAAAACATTTTGTCTTCATATTTTCTTTTTCTTTCTTTTCCTCTATAACCAAATAAGAAAAACTATTTTCAACTTCATTTTCATTTCTTTTCTCTTTTAAATTTTGTGAACCAAACATGGTGTAGATGAATTTTGAATTTCCATAGGTAAAGAAAAGAAAATAAAAATAAAAAAGTCAATTTTCTTTCCATCCTAATTTAAGTTGTTTGTTCAGTATTCACATGATCAAAATTTAAGCATTTTCATTACTCATTCTCGATACTCATTTGATAGTATAAAATAGTATGATAGTTTTTTTCTCGATACTCATTCGATACTCATTCCCTGTTATAAAAGACCAATTATTGAATTTACTCTAAATTATATTTTAAAATACCACACCAATTTTCACATAATATGAATTACGATAAGTCTAAAATGACACCAGTGCTACAGGTTGTAGGATCGCTTTTCTGGAACTTCTCAGTGGGTCACCCATTCTGGAACTACTCCCGTTCCAGCACGCTTAACTACAGAGTTCTTAAGTTAAAGAGGTGCCAAGTGCTTCCTAAAACCAATTGGTGATAGGAAGGTGGACACTATGTATTTAACCACATCTCTCTGTAGCCCCAAGCCGAGGTAGATTCCTATAGGGCACCCCCTATAGTTCACTACGGTAGTGCGGAGCCCCACTACTGAGCGGTGGATGGAAAGAAGGGCTTCGCAAGATACACGACTCTTGTACCTCGTCAGGTTGGGCTGTCAATACCTGATACCGTGACAAGCACAATAGCAAATCTCTAAGGGTGATTGATGGTCCCCCATAAAACCAACAATCTCCCCCCTAGCGACACCCGGGGGATTCGAGCCTGCTTCCTCGCTCTATCCTAATTTAAGTTGTTTGTTCAGTATTCACATGATCAAAATTTAAGCATTTTCATTACTCATTTGATAGTATAAAATAGTATGATAGTTTTTTTCTCGATACTCATTCGATACTCATTTCCTGTTATAAAAGACCAATTATTGAATTTACTCTAAATTTTATTTTAAAATACCACACCAATTTTCACATAATATGAATTACGATAAGTCTAAAATGACACCAGTGCTACAGGTTGTAGGATCGCTTTTCTAGAACTTCTCAGTGGGTCACCCATCCTGGAACTACTCTCGTTCCAGCACGCTTAACTACAGAGTTCTTAAGTTAAAGAGGTGTCAAGTGCTTCCTAAAACCAATTGGTGATAGGAAGGTGGACACTATGTATTTAACCACATCTCTCTGTAGCCCCAAGCCGATGTAGATTCCTCTAGGGCACCCCCTATAGTTCACTACGGTAGTGCGGAGCCCCACTACTGAGCGGTGGATGGAAAGGAGGGGCTTCGCAAGATACACGACTCATGTACCTCGTCAGGTTGGGCTGTCAATACCCGATACCGTGACAAGCACAATAGCAAATCTCTAAGGGTGATTGATGGTCCCCCATAAAACCAACAATCTCCCCCCTAGCGACACCCGGGGGATTCGAGCCTGCTTCCTCGCTCCGATAGCACTTGTAGGATCGTTTTTCTAGAACTTCTCAGTGGGTCACCCATCCTGGGCCTACTCCCGTTCCAGCACGCTTAACTACGGAGTTCTGAAGTTAAAGAGGTGCCAAGTGATTCCTAAAACCAATTGGTGATAGGAAGGTGGACACTGTGTATTTAACTACATCTCTCTGTAGCCCCAAGCCGAGGTAGATTCCTATAGGGCACCCCCTATAGTTCACTACGGTAGTGCGGAGCCCCACTACTAAGCGGTGGATGGACAAGAGGGGCTTCGCAAGATACACGACTCATGTACCTCGTCAGGTTGGGCTGTCAATATCCGATACCGTGACAAGCTCAATAACGAATCCCTAAGGGTGATCGATGGTCCCCCATAAAACCAACACTCGTGTGATTT